ATTTTTAAAAAAGGAAACATCCATGATATTAAAAATTATCGACCTATTAGTAAGCTATGTGTGTTTGGAAAAATTTTTGAGAAAATTGTATATAACAGAATTCTAGAACACGTCAAAGATATTATTAAACCACAGCAACATGGTTTTCTTCCTAATAGGTCTATAGAAACTAATTTGATAACATTTGTAGATTCCCTTTACGAATCCATGGATAAGAGAGTTCCGGTGGATGTTATCTATACGGACTTTAGTAAGGCTTTCGATAAAATCAATCATCAATTGTTAATTGATCGCCTTGCTGAGACTGGTATTGATGGTATTCTTTTGCGGTGGATTGAATCATATTTAAGAAACAGAAGTCAACTAGTAACAGTCAATGGATACAGATCTGATCTCTCTGGGGTACCATCCGGGGTACCTCAGGGCAGCCATCTCGGTCCGTTATTTTTCATCGTATACATAAATGACATTAATATCTGTTTTCAACACTGCAAGTTTCTACTTTACGCTGACGATTTAAAGTTATATCAACCTATACAGAGCTCTGTTGATCACCATAATATACAAGATGATCTAAACCGCTTGGTAGACTACTGTAATTCTAGAGATTTATTCTTAAATTTAGAAAAAGTATTTATCGCTAAGATGTAACATCGACTTATACCTAGGCTATGCACCGCTGATGCGCAACTTTGGGATTCTTTCGTTAAAAGATCGTAGAGTTGTGTCGGATTTGGTTTTGTTTTTTAAAATATTTAAAAGATTGGTTTACGCTCCGGAAATCTATAATAAAATAAATTTAAAATTATCTAGTAGGTCTTTTAGGTCTAATAAACTATTTTCTGTTCCCTTCAGGAATACGAATTACGGTCAAAATGCACCTATATGTAGACTGAGTAGACTGTTCAACGAATATTATAATGATTTGTCGCCTTTCCAGTCAAATGTGGAAACGTTTAGATTCAATATTAAGATGTTATTAGTTAGTAGGATATGAAATTTGTATTTTTTTGTAATTGTTTCCATTTTGATTTTTTCTTGGTTTATTTTTATTATTTTACATAAAACCCACTAAAATTGGTAATATTGTGAGTATTGTAGTGGATTGTAATCTGTGTATGCTCCTATATTGGTAAATAAATAAATAAACACTGGGTATGGTACATGTATGTATGTATATCACCTCCGTCTGTTGTCCAAAATCTCTTGGTTGCAAGTTCCTCTCCGACATGACTCTCTAATAATAATAATAAATAAATAAATAATCACTTTATTTCAAATTTGGTGTACAAATTAACAAAATGAAAAACCAAACCAAAAAAATATAGTTATACAAAATTTTTACATTTATGCGAAATAATCATTTAAACAATATGGTTCCATTTCAGTTAGCATTTTTTTAATCTAGTTTTTGAAGAGTTTAAAACTTTCAATTGTCCTTAATCTTAAAGGTAGCTTATTAAAACATTTTTTCGTTCTTGTGGTATAATAGTTTTTATTTCGGGCTTGGAATATGAGATTATTATATTATTATTATACGAAGGGAAGCGATAGTTGCAACACAGGTGCTTGTCCAGAACTGCTACGATCAGAGAAAGGATGTGTGCCTGTGTTTCATGGACTATGAAAAGGCATTCGATCGCGTGCAACACCACAAATTAATGCAGCTACTCAAAAGGCTTGATATAGACCAAAAAGACATACAATGCATCGAAAACTTGTACTGGAACCAAACAGCACAAATAAAATTGGCCAATACCATGTCCAATCCCATACAAGTTAGAAGGGTTACGTGCTGTCTCCAGGGTTACGTGCTGTCTCCACTCCTATTCAATTTGTACTCGGAGGCTATTTTCCAAGAGACTCTAGAGGACGTGGAAATGTGAGTCAAAGTTAACGGAGTGTGGATTAATAACATCCGCTACGCCGACGATACGGTCTTGATTGCAGATAATATACACGATCTACAACAACTGGTCAACAAGGTAGGAGAACAGAGTAAAGCAATGGGTTTAAACATAAACATCAAGAAAACCAAATTTATGATAATATTCAGAACTCCAGATGTGTTTAAAAACTCCATTATAACATTTAATACATAGCCCATAGAGAGGGTAGATAAATTTAAGTACTTGGGCATCTGGCTCTCCGAAGATTGGACATCAGACAAGGAAATTAAATGTCGCATCGAACAAGCTCGGCAGGCATTCTTGAGGTTCCGAAAAGTACTTGTCTGTTCTGATTTTGACCTTAACCTCAGATTAAGATTCGTAAACTGTTACGTGTGGTCGGTGCTCCTTTATGGTATGGAAGGTTGGACATTGAAAGCAGCTGCCATTAATAAACTAGAGGCTTTCGAGATGTGGCTATATTGCAGAATTCTGAAGATACCTTGGATGGCTAGGTTAACAAATGAGGAAGTTCTGAGACGTGTCAACAAACAGCGTGAATTGTTTGAATTGATTAAGAAGAAAAAAACCGCATACCTTGGACACATAATGCGAAACCCCAAATATCAATTCTTGCATCTGTTAATCGAAAGCAAGATCGAAGGCCGGAGGGGTATCAGAAGGAAGTAAATGTCTTGGCTGAGGAATGGTAGACAGTGGACAGGCCTACACAATGAACAGTCGATAATAAACACCGCCAGGAATAGAGAAGCGATGGAAAATGTTATCGCAAACATACATTAATGGATTCGCACTAGAAGAAGAAGAATATGAGATATTCGTATACATACAAAGCATAAACTGTCATAATCCCCAGTTTTTTGAAGATCGATCTACATGACTGATTGTATTCCATTTTTTGTATTACTCTTATAATACGGTTTTGAGCAACTATAGATTCCTTGATTCCAGGAAAGTTTAGGTCGGCCTCGTTTGCGTCTATCTATAGGTGTCCACTGCATTACTTGCTTTGATATTCTCTCGTCAACTATACGTTGTACATGATCGTACCAGTGCAGTTGTTTTTCCTGTATTTTTTGTACAATGCTACACCAGCTTCATTCTTTCTCGTATTCCCTTTTTCCTAATTCTGCCTACGGGAGATTCAGGCTAATCTTCGCCAGAAGCCCTTATCGGTCGACAACAACTTCTTTTTATGTTTTTTTCTCTAACTGCCATACCTCAAGAGCGTAATGTTATGCTCCTCAGGATCGCATTATAGATCAGAATTTTCTGTAATCTGAGATATTCCTAGGTCCTTTTTGTTTTGAGCCATTACTATTTGGTCATCAGAGAAATGCAGAGTATACTGAGATTTGTCATTATTATTTCATCATCATCATCATTATAAGTATTTCCATCTGAGAACATTTCTTACGCAAGTACTTAAGAGCATCCGATAGGTAGATTTTAAATAAGATTGGGGACAGGCACCACCTCTGTTTTAGACATTTTCTTATCGGGAATAATAAGATAGGGTAGACCTATTTTAATTTTTGCGGAATAATTGCAGTAAAGTCTGTAAAGTTGCTGTACTGCTTTTATTAGTATTAAATTTATTGTTTTTTAGATCCTTCCAGACTTACCTACTTAATTGGTAAAGTTGGTAACGTATTATAAGCCTTGTAGAATGTAGAATGTTTAGGGGGGTCTATTGTGTGTTCCCCTTTTTTGAATTATAACTTATCATACAGTTTCAGGGTTTTAACAAAAGCCAGTATCTGAGACGGCTTCACAAAGGCCAGATCTCCATCCTCGACATCAGCCGTATCAAAGTTCATGGTACGAACGGTCGTCGTCTCGGCGCACTCAATGATAAGGTGTTCTGGTGTTTCTCTATTTTCCACACAGAATCTGCATTCGCCGTTGTTTCTCAACTTTAGCCTACTGAGGTGTTTGTTGAGGAGACAGTGTCTAGACTGTTTAGAAACCCTGAGGCAATCCGAAAATTGTTTTTATTTAAATCAAGGAAAATGTTTGATTTTTCTCGGTCGTAAGTCCTGAGGAACTTTTTCGAGTGTCTTGGACTGTTAGGACCTCCATTCTTGGTTACGGTTGGAGTCTTCCAGGTTCTTTAGTTTCGCTATTAGTTGGTTTGCGCTTGGAAAGCAGAACGGTTTTGGTCCAGTTAGTGGAGCTAGCTAGATCATTTGCTTTTTCATTGTCTTCTGTCCCTTGGTCAGCTGACACCCAGTGTAGAGGACTTTATTTTCTTTGCCTAATTTGTTCAGTTTCTCTAGGCATTCTTTGACCAACTTCGAATTGATGGTTACTGAGTTGATCGCTTTTAACGCTGCTTGACTATCAGATAAGATGGGTATTTCCTGTTTTCGATAGTTCCTATGTAAGATAAATTGTACGCATCTTTCGATAGCATAGATTCCTGCCTGAAGGATGCTGGGGTAGGTGCCCAATGATTCGGAGTATTTAGTTTTCGGCCCCAATACTCATATCCCCGTCCCTTCTTTGGTTTTTGTTAAGCATCAGTATACCACGTTATAGTATGGTCTTTTACATGTTGAGCAAACGTTTCTCCCTTCGAATCCTTTTTATTACTCAATACTAAGTGAGGTGTTTCTTAAAGTTGTAAATTCTTGGTATGTCATCTACTGGGAGAAGTGGAATTATAAACCTTACTAAGGGCCACAAACAGGAGATGAATTTAGTCGTTATTTGTTGCCGCCTTTTTCTCGATGATCTGAGTTACTAGAACGATCTGAGTTACTGTCGTGTGCTTTCTTTTTACACATTGTTGCTTTAAAACACAACTTTGCTATATTCTAAATATTGCACGGTGAATGTAGAAGACGAAATACAAGAGCTAATAGAGAATACTGGATTCCTTGCGCTAACCATCTGGATAGATTTAATCTGGATACACCAAAACGCGTCCCGATTATCGAGTCACTTCCCGACCATCATTTAAATAATTTCTCATGCGGATTACTGACTATCCGGATTAACATGTATCCGGACTAAACAGATTGCACTGTATATCATAGATTACAAAGTTAATTAGCGTCATATTAATTACAAATTCTGTTTATTCAGGAAACATGATAGATGACACGACCTCTGCACATCATCGCCAGAACTCACTCGACTTAAATCATGCCGAGAAAACTGTTTCGCATCAGCAGCATCCAGGAGGAAGAAGAGGACATGGGTCCGTACGAGAACCTCACCACGCTTCCATCGAACCATCTAGATAATCCTGTGGTATCGAGGAACGGCAGAACATCTGATATTTTTGCCAGGTTCCAGATCGGATCCAGTTGCGTGGATATACCAGCTACCTGTGTTGATAATGGTAATGTACAGGGTGGTTTACGATCAGTGGGCACCGAAGCTAGCTTGAAGACCGTTTCGACCAGTAACAGTTTGGCAGGGTACGAAGTGAGCTTCACGAGGCACGAAGGATCTCGGTAAGTGATCGCATTTATAGTGTTTCTCCATTTCCAAATATGTACATGTGTTTAAAATAATTGGATACATATGAGAAATTAATTTTTATTTTCTTAGAAATTTTTGCTCTTCATTGATGTCTTATGAAAATTAATGATATCATATACAGGGTGTCCCAGAAATAAGTGCAAGTATTTTAACTGGTAGTATATTTCGGTCTCAGAAACACGCCTATTTTAAAATATATTTTTTTACACAGATAGTACAAAGAAAAGCAAATTATTTAGTTTTATTATTAAACGAATTATTAAACAAACGAACATACTGCTGCAATACGCAGAAAAACTAAGAATACTTGAGACAAATTAAGGATCTATAGTAACTATTCCACATTTCAACAACATATTTCAACGTCCAGTGGATTTTTTTATATGTATTACATCTACCATATAGAGATAGTCTTGGGTCGGTTTACATGTCTAAGAGAGAATTGCTATGGAGATTTTACAAGTCGGAGAAAGAAAAATGCTAGGTGTTTATTACGTACACCTAATTGTACTGAACACAGTGACTGTACCTACTCTTCGTACACATCAAAATCGGCATCCAATGCCAGACCTTGCCGACTTTGTATGCGATATTTATTCGGATATTGAATAATCTGTAGCATACGTTTCTGATAACTACGCTTCAAACAGTATTCATTAAAAAAAACAACGCTTTATTGTACAAACAGCCAAAACAGCTTCATCGACAAAGCATTCACAAAAACAAAAAAGCACAAAAACAAATATACAAATAATAAAAAAATATCATACAATACAAATCAATTCAAAAAAATTTACGTCATTAAAATTACAAACACAACATACATGGACATTGCAGAACACAGGCGTATCAAGAAATTCTACAAAAGGAAAACTGTAAATGGATAAAATCATGTTATATATCATAAAATCAAGAGTTATAAAATATTAAACATTCAATACTAGACCTTTTAGAAGTGGATAGTTGTGAGAAGGCCTTTCCGGAATAGCAGATATGTGCTTGCGGATTAAGCAAACGGATTCAAAAATGAATAAGGAAGGAAGAGTCAGTATTTTGAAATTTTTAAAGAAATTCTGGCAGCGAGTTCTACTGTTTAGTCCCAATAAGTATCAAACTGCTCTCTTTTGAAGTTTGAAAATACGATCAAATTTTGTCGCGCAGCAAGTACTCTAGTATGGAAGGTCATAAGGAAGATGCGACTCAAAAAGGGCATAATAGACCATTCTAGAGACGTTAAGTTCCTTAGAAACTGATCTTAGCGCAAAACAGGCAGCGCTTAGTTTCTTTGATAAAGCTTCGATGTGCAAGTCCCATTTTAACGAGTTGTCTACAACAAGTCCTAAGAATTTCACAGAGTCCACGACGTCAATAGTGGTGTTATTAAGTACAAAATGTTGTATAGTACTTTTATATGACAAAACTTTAGTTTTTGGAAGGTTGAGGCATAGGAGATTAGAATCGCACCAAGATTTAATGGTGCGTAAGTCACTGGATATAGTATTATATAGTGCCGTAACATGTCTAGATTTGCAATTTGCAATGTCGTTGATAAACACCAGAAATAAAATAGGGCCAAATACTGAACCCTGAGGGACACCACATTCTATAGGCTTACAAGAAGACATAGACGTATCAATCCTCACAAGCTGCCTTCTGTTGCCAAGATACGACTTAAGCCATTCGAGCGGCACTCCCCTGAATCCATAGTGTTGCAATTTGTTAATTAAGATATTATGATTTACACAGTCGAAAGCCTTAGAGAAATCACAGAAAATTGTAGCTGTAGAGTGATGGTTATTCAGGCTAGAGTGTACATTATTAAAAAGGTCGAACATAGCATCATTTGTGCGACTGTTACTTAGAAATCCAAATTGATGGGTAGAAAGTACTTTATATTTAAGGAGAAAAGATAGAAGCCTTTTTTTAACCAATTTTTTAATGATCTTAAATAATGTGGGCAGGAGAGCAATTGGGCGATAGTTCGAAGCTTGATCTTTATCTCCCCCTTTATGCAGAGGAATAATTATTGCTGTCTTAAGGCAGTTTGGAAAAACTGCTTTTTGGAATGACTCATTAATTAAAGTAGTAAGATAGATTAATGTGCATTCCGGAAGTTCAGAGAACATTTTGAGAGTAAGTCCCCTCCCAGATGAGAATTTATTTTTAATACTTTACTAATTATACTACGGAGCTCATCTAATGCTACGGGCGTGAAAAAGAAACTGTGTAAATTCTCATTTGCTTTAGGGAGATATGAAAGTGAATCATGGGAAGGAGTTATGGTGTTCACTAAATTTTTAGCCACATAACAAAGTAAGTGTTTAAATCTTCAGGTGAATTCAAGACTGTGCCAGACGAAGAAGTCTTATTCCTTAAGTCATTTACAATAGCCCAAGTCTCTTTAGCAACATTACCGGATTTGGCTAGCCTCCCATTATAATAAATGTCCTTGGCAGCTTTTATAGTCTTACGATAAACTCTAAATAATAATAATATAATTAAATAATAATAATAATTATAATTTAATTAGTGTTAACTTATCACAACATGGCGAAATTTCAACAAAATCGATCTGTTGGCCGATTTGAGATATTAATAAAAAAGGTCTATTAGAAAACACCTTGACACTTTTGTATCTTTAAAATTATACATTTCCCGACACATGTTTATATGAACTTTTTACCTTAAAAACACTCAAAGAATCACCTCCTGAAGATTGGCCAGATACTTAATTAACACCCTGTATTTAAAAATGGCTAGCTTGTGATTTAGTAAGCTATATTTATTTTAATGGGAAAAAAATGCATTTGATAAAAAATAAACATACGCATAAAAGATCGCGCACACTATACCTGCACGGACCAGACCAGTAAAATCTACCGGTGAAGGTGACCGTGTTATTTAATAGAGTAGAGCACACTAGACCAGTACCAGCACGTACCGCCACAAGCCACGACCGTCAAAACAGGTCGTGTCGGTCAGGGACAAATATGACCGGCAATATTTATGCCTGGTCGTGCTGGTCCGACCTAATGTGCGCACCGGCGAACCAGCACACCTCCACAAACATGCAAATATTGAAGGGTTTGTCAGTATTTCGAGTACGCTAGCTGGCTCAAGTTGCATGATGTAGGTTAGATTTCGTTTATTTTTGTTCGAACCTTTAAATCGTTTTAAATATGAATGAAAAAAAGCTTATTTTACTGGTACAAAAGTATTCAGAGCTGTGCGATACGAGCCAAGCATTTTATATATAGAGACCAAGAAAGAAAAGATGCAATATGGGAGTCGATAGCAAAAAAAAATAATTAAATTTGATTTGTGACATTCGAAAATATTGGAAAAACTTTTCTTCGAATCTTTTTAATTCAGGAAACAAATAATGAAATTCGCCATATTGCTTTCTCTTTTGATTTATAGGGTGAACCCAAAATCTTCTTTTTTTCTTAGCTTCCTTCTCTTCCTCCTCTTCTTCACACAACATGGCTAAAATAATAATTTCTTCCTCTGAACTACTCATTTTCAATACTTCTATGTTGCACGCTCTAGTAGTTGAGCCTTGACAACTGTACTTTTTTCGAAACTCTCGCTTATGTTGCTGGTCTGTGGCGGTAAAGTGTGCGATGTCATGCAGGATGCAGATTTGTGCTGTGCTGGTCCGTACTGGTCCGTGTAGGTATAGTGTGCGCGATCTTTAATACAAATACTATACACCAATTAATTTTAAATGTATCTAAATAGGCACTTTAATAATTGAAAAATGGACAGGAGCACTTAAAATCACTTCATAGAGTATACCAAATATGCTAAAAGTAATAATTCCAATAAAAAAACACAAATGGCACATTAAAATCTGCATTATCTGAAATGAAACTATAGCTAAACTCCTAATAAAAGAATAGGGACAAGACGCCGACATCTATAACGCGATGAGCAGTTTTTAATAATTATTTCCGAGTTATTATTACATACTTGGTTTTACAATTATTGTAATACAGTAGCATTCCTTCAAATAAATTTTGATTTAGGTATTGTTAATATAGTTATTATAATGATTACAGCTCATATGATTTCTAAAATAAATATTCAAGCGTGTTTTTGTCAGAATTATTAAATGATTAATTAGAAATAGTTAATATTTAGTAACTTTGTAAGTGTTACATTTTAATATAATTATGGATTTAATAATTAAATAATTATTTTAAGTTTAAATAGTGGTAAACTTGTATGAGTTTCAATCATTTGTATTTAAAATCTCAGGGAAGGCAATATAGATTTTAGGCAGGAGAACTCAAGGAAAGGACTGTGGAATTAGTAATTAAGACTTTACAATTTTTTTTACTTGCCATTTTTCTTGTCGTTCACGTTGCACGTTGACTCTTCGTTGTGTCACACGCAATCTGAATTTCGGATATGATGCAGAACTGATAAATTGGACCAAATATATTAATTGCAAGGTATTCAAAGAAATATTTTTGTTAACTTTGCAAACATTTAAGGCATGCAATAATTTTAAAAAATTTTGACGAATTCTTGGATGATAAAGATTTGAATTTTTATAGGTCTATTTTTTTAAGAAGCTAACAAATAATTTCAAAAAATCAACTATCAAAATATAATGGTAGCAAATTTTTAAAATCATGCATAGGTATAATGTTCTATATTAATTGGACATACTGAATGTAAACTAGGTATAGTTGCTGCAATCGATAATATATTTTGTTGCTTTTTCATATCACACAACATTTTCATCATAACAAAAAACCGTCAATACCGCTACTCATATTATTGACAACTATGTATACTTAAATCTCATAATGATGTTTAAAAATACATAGGTATACATACTATGAGTAGTGGTTGTGACAGTTTTTTATTAGGTATGATCACAGGAATGATGAAAAGAAGCTGCAAACTAAATTATCGTGGAACTGTATTTTAATTTATTTTTATCTACAGTAACTATTACTTATTTTTAAAACTTTTATTTTTTTATTTAATTTTTTATTTTTTATTTACTTACGGCGAATTTAAATTTATGGGCCATCCATAAATTTACTCCGTAAGTTCGAATATTGGTTAAACCTAGACATACCCAGGTAATAGCCCGAAATATGCAAAAGAGGGAGTGAGTTTAGGTTAGATTAGAATTAGGTTTTAGTTGGTTTTGCATTAATAAAAATATAGGCCTAATCTAAACTCAACCTAAACTGACTTTTTTGCATATTTCGGGCTCCTACGTGGGTAACCCTACGTTTAACCAACATTCGGGCTTTTACGGTCACATAATACTCATTCTGATTGGTTTAATCTGGCTCCATAATGAAACTGTGCGTTCGAGGTGCTATTGCAAATTAATGCCATGAATCATATATATATACATACCTCACATTTCTATAGTGTCGTGACCGTGATCATGACCATTCATGAATCCGCACACGTTCATCTCCATCATTAATATTTTTCTTACTAAATTCTTCACTTTTATAAAAAGCCATCACGATAAAAATCAAATATTAAAATTATTTAACGTTGCGAACGGTTCACTTGTTCACTATACGTATCTGGAATATATTTGCGAATGGCAATTAGCGATACGTTAGACTGCCGGAGTGCTGACGTCACGAATGCCAAATTGCTTTCCAAACAAGGTTTAGTTCTTTTATATTTCTATTGAGCTCTTCCAAATGACGTCACAAGTTAATATAAAATGTAAAAAAAACAGGTGATTGCCGACCACCGCCGACTTATGTGTCTGATATTTTCAATATGCGTATGATGATTGCGCATGTTGCAAAATCTGTGAATTTTTTGACATAGTTCTTTGATAGGTTTCATGTCATTACCATTATATCTAAACACTTAGTTCTTCTCTATAAAATCGTTTAAATAGACAACGCTAGGAACAACACCGCTAGTTTTTTTTCACGGTGTGCTATAACCATTGCCTGGAAACTTATATGGTGAAATTTTGATAAAATAATTTAGTACTCACTAAAAACACGGTATGTCGCTAGTGGCAGGAAAAATAATTTTTAGAGGTTACTAGTTTATTTGGTTGCCTATGATATGCATATACAGGGTGTTTCCTAATTAATCTAAAAAATAAAAAATCGTTAGAAAACGGCGGGCTCTTAATAAGTATATTTATTTTTTTCTCGGCAACCGTTTGATGAACAAGAAAAACTCAAAAGATCAATTTTGTTGAAAAAGGATGGCCAGTCAAGAAAAAAAAATATTTGCTTTAAAAAAGCAGTAGTGTACCATTTATGTTAAGCAAAATATCGATTTTTTTAAAATGTTTAACACCCTGTAGATCAGAAAGGAAGTACTTTAGACCCAATGGTTATATAAAAATTGTTTTAAGAACACATGAGGAATCACACCACAATTTTTTAGACTAATTAGAAAACTCCCTGTATATTGTCAACTTGACAATGATTGTTGATAAATCAAAAATACCTTTTCTGTGAAAAAGCCCGATTTTCGCAGGAAAAATTTTTGGTTTTTATTGAATTTGGGTCTGCGTCTACAAATACCGGTATGTTTTTAAGATTCTATCTATCTAAATTTTAAATATCATAGTCAGAAATAGTTTTATTATTTATTAACTGTAAAATGGTATACTTATAAGTTTTATCAAATATTGTGATTTACTTTCTACCTTGTAGTCAAAATTTATATTTAATAAACTGTAAAATATATATATTCTTATGTTTTATTAAAGTTACTCTGATATACTAATATATCAGTGTAACTTTAAAACTAAATGCTTTGAAATCAAATATAAACATAAAAAATATTTACAGCAGAAAAGGCGAAGGCGCTGGGTTAAACGTAGTCTCTACTAAGAACACGGAGGGGCGCTTTGACCCAAAATTTTACTATTAAGTTTCATATCTATCTTAATAGAAGATTATTTTCTTTTATCTATGGCTATAACAAAGGATATAACCCATTATGTAACTATAGTTGTGTGTAACAACATATAAAGGTATGATTGTCAAAATTCCTGATGTATTAGAAGTCAAATATAAATGTAAGTTATTGGGAATTTTAAAATGGCTCTTAAAAAAATTCGAAGTGTAAAACCATTATTATATAACCATCCAGCAGTCACTAAGGTTGAAAGTAAACTAGCTATAAATTCCAAATTTAATACACCCTCGTTAAATATAACAAGAAGTTATACAATGGAATCGAAAAAGGAGAAATCGAAATATGGAGACAATATGGCGTTGGTCTTGCATGGAAGCAATAATTTAAAAATAGAAAAAAGACCTATACCCAAAATCAAACCTTCTCAGGTACGATGTATTGAAAGTCGAAACTGATGAACGATCAAGTGATCATCGTTGAATGATATAGCTGTGTAATTTATGAGATTGCAAACATCTACATACTTAATTTTTCGGTAACAGTTGCATATACGGTTTTCGGGTATTTTTGGATTATATAGAAAAAAAATTATATACTCGTACTCACATTCTACTGTCCTTAGAGATTGCAAATATACTGGGGGAGGAGAGAAATTGTGTTTCTTTAAGAATTTTTTGAATCAAACAAACATACGGGACCGGGGAGCGAATAGGGGTGCTGGGCGGGGTTAAAGCGTATACATACTGGTAAAACATTACATACACATATAGTAAAGACGAATTTTTCATTCAAAAAAATTGACTAAATATAGATTATGCACGGAATTTCAAAATAATTTAATTTAGTATTTGACACATATTTGACGTTACGAGAATTTTAACACCTTAGATCTTATAAACTTCGTGGATAAGTAAATTCGCCTTAGATCTTATAAACTTCGTGGATAAAGCTATGCCATATGTATATTACACACGACTTTGTTTACGGGACTTTCACATGCATTTTTCTATTTATTTCTTTCTAGAACAAGATTATCGTATAAATCTATCTTTCTCTCTGCGTACGCTTCTGAGCATGCGCAGAACGATATTAGACATAAATGCTAACTTGGAGCGTTTTTTTTCGCTGCGTTGACAACAATTACTAAAAATATAGACCACTAAAATGTTTCAATCAAGATATAACTGATACTCAGTGTATTTATTATTTTGAAAATATTTGTCTTATTATTTCCAATATACTTTTTATATATATTTTAAACAAAAATTAAATCATATAACGATAAATTCTTTTTAAAAATGTTTTAAAATACTACTTTGAAAAATAGCTATGATGAATGGGCAGCACAAAAAAATCAGCAACCAGTGAAACTAGAATATGTTTTGACAATGAAAAGTCAAAACATATTTTTATAAAATAATTTAATTAATGTCACATTTTGTGCTTTTTGTATACTGTTTGACTCGTGATAATAAAGAGTTAATTTGGAATTCCGAGAAATTTGGAAGAGAGATATTTTAGATTTGTGTTCTTTTTGAAAGTTTGTTTTTGTAGTGCGATAAAGTTAGTGGATAAATAGACATTAATGACTGATAAAAGTGTTATGTGTGAAGCTGTCCGCAATAGGAAAAATATTATCCTTAAAAGAACTCCACAACACTATAAAAGTATGAAAACCTCTGAAGTATGTTCTATATTTTTAAAAAACAAGATATATATTATCTAATATATATAAATATAATATATGAATCGTTTCTTCAACTGACTTTTATTCAGCGAAATACATATTTATGTTAGGTTACTTAATCACTTTAAAAGCTTTAAATACTATTAGGTAATTTACCTTTGATTTTTTTTTTCGTTAAATAGTTAATATACTAGTAAATATTGTCCAATAAATAATTAATATCCGAATAACAATATTATTTTCTCAAATTTATATATTTACATTTTCTATTTTATGACATAAAAATGACATATACACAAAACAAAGACAGACGATTGGTCAATCAGTGTCAAAGACAAAGATAATTAGATAGTCGAATGTCGCTGATGTGTCTTCAACAAAAATTAAGCGAATTTACTTATCCACGAAGTTTATAAGATCTGAGAAATTTAATGGTCTATATTTTTAGTAATTGTTGTCAACGCAGCGAAAAAAACGCTCTAAGTTAGCATTTACGTTTAATATCTGCGCATCTCCGTAACGTACTCAGAGAGAAGGATAGGCCTATACGATAATCTTGTTCTAGAAAGAAATAAATAGAAAAATGCATGTGAAAGTCCCGTAAACAAAGTCGTGTGTAATATACATATGGCATAGCTTTATTCACGAAGTTTATAAGATCTAAGTTTAACACTCGATTTTACATGACAGCGACAGAAGGAAAAGCAATGTTGCCAGTCCCATTAAATTTTCTTTAATATTTTAGTTTTTGAATTTTTATTTTAAAAAAATAGCCATTTTTAATAATAATTTTAAATAAAAAAATGCTCTAGATTAAAAAATATTTTATTATATTTTTGGTGCTATTTGGGATCCGTGTCACTTTATGGTGCTCAAAATTAAGAAATTTGCTATAAAATGAAGTGTTTATTCTAATGCTGTTGAGACAAACATAAAGAGCTAGAGTTGAGGAAAAATACAATTTTTGGTAAAATAAGAGAAAACATTTTCTAACATACGAAAAAAAAAGAATAAAACCAAACAAGACGAACCCAACCAAACCGCTCACAGCGTGTTTTCATTGCTAGAGCTATAACTAAGCAATTCTCTATACCGCTAGCGGCAATTTAGCTATGAAATTCCGAACAATTTACTAGCTGATTTGGCAATCAAGTATTAATCCACAATGTCAAAATTCAACCTTCATTACTGACAGCATATCTTTCAATGTAAACTGCCTATGATTTCTGAATAAAATAGTTCTTTATAGTTTTTTTGAAGAAATTTTACATTAAAAGTTTAATTAAAGGATTGTAAAATGGGTGTGCTATGAGTAGCCTTAATCAGTATATTGTTTTGACCCCGCCCCGCATCCCTACTCGCTCCCCGGTCCCGTAAGATTGTTTGGTTGAAAAAATGCTTAAAGAAACACAATTTCTCTCCTAGATATATTTGCAATCTCTAAGGACAATAGAATGTGAGTATATAAAAATTTTCTTATATAATCCAAAAATAGCCGAAAACCGTATACAGGGTGGCCCATCGAAAACGTTCAGGCAGGCGTAACGGCCAGGGTAATTTTTTTTTCAGAAAATTCAAAAACAATCAATTGTGTTTGTGAAGGGGACAATTTTTGCCCCAAAAATGATTGCAAAATCTTCAACCCTCTAAGCGGGGGTGTCATCCCCCAATTTTTTTCAAATGGGAAGGGGGGTCAAGTGGTACTGCAATGAAAAGGGCTTTCTATTCTCTATACTTTCCCGCTTCGTTTTTAGAAAATCGGTCGAGTTATTGAGAAAATGAATGAAAGAGTAAATGATAAGGAGAAATTCCTTCGACCAATTTGCTGTTTTTTCTTATTATATCTAGATGTTTACGCATTTTTTTCACTTGCCACAAGGTTGAACGATCAGATTAGGTAGAGTGTACTTTCTTTTTGAACGGTGTAGTTAATCGGCACAACTGTCGGTACTGGGCTGAGGACAACCCCAAGGTTTTTCACGAGGTGCACACACAAGACCCTCAGAAATTGAACGTGTGGGCTGGTATTTTTAGAAATTCTATTGTGGGTCCTTTTTTTCTTCCTGGAAATCTGACAGGTGATATGTACTTGGATTTACTGGAAAATACCATCGACCCAGCCCTAACTGACATCATAGAGAACAATCCTGGATACGTTGAAGCGGAACTAATATTTCAACAAGACGGTGCACCTCCACATTACTCTCAAAATGTGCGTAATTATTTAAACAATAACTTTCCCGGTCGGTGGATAGGACGAAGGGGTGAAATTGAGTGGCCTCCCCGGTCACCCGACTTGACTCCTTTAGACTTTTTTCTATGGGGACACATAAAAAGTAAAGTGTATAGCACTCCACCCGCCTTATTAGAAGACCTGCGAAGACGAATTCACTGATGTTTGTGCAACCAGGCCTGGATTAAGGGGGGGGCTATGGGGGCTATAGCCCCAGGCCCCGTCATTGAGAGGGGCCCCCGAATCAGGAGAATTTAATCGAGATTAGTTAAATGAAAATGTACATAGGTATTTAGTCTTATTAAATATATTGCAATATATTGCAACAGACAACTTGTTATTCTCATAATGTTAAAAACAGACTCTTCTTCTTTTTTTTTTGGGCGGCAACACACTTTCCCCAAAAAATATCAAGAGTGCTGCATAGACAATGGCTCGTTCTTCTTTTTAAATTTTTCGGGATGGATGAATTACCGAAAGCCGAAAGCGCTAGGGGAATTACTCAGATTAGAATCCTTTTTTTTATTCTATTTGATTAGTAATTTTTGCATAGCGCATCTATGAAGTAAGCGATTGCGAATAATAGATTTAAGAAAACAAGAACAATAATACGTTTATAACTGTGTAGTGTATACCAGTATTTTAAAAAATATCATGTAGCAGAAAATATCTTAGTGGATCTGCTAAACGTAAGGTAGGAATCAGTTTTAGCCTTATTATGCATTTACTTGATATGACCATTTATATAATAATTTTGGTATTGACAATTAAATTAATAATAACTTTTTTAAGTTTTCTTCTTTTAAAAATAAGCGCATTAATATATTATAAGTACCTTGGTATTTACACCCTCTTTGCTTGCACCCCTTTGACGGCACTATCACCCTAAAAATAATTTTAAATGGAATAGGGGGTCGAGTGATACCTTGTTTTAAAGGTCTTTTGAGTCTTTTTATATCTGTAGAGTTTGAAGTCTCTATTGCCATTCGCGTTGAATGGTAACGCCACTACTTTTTAAATAAAATTAATATTGTTTTTGAAATCCCCATTCAATTTACAACATATTTTATTTCTTGACTTTTTTTATCCGACGCACCATTTTTGCGTAAAAAAATAAACACCATTTTCATGCATAACCAAATCGCTAAAATGTTACCATAAATTTAAATAGCAAAATTTGTAAAACGGCAAATTTAAGTTTAAAAAGATTTTTTATTTTCCAAAAACTTCTTTCTATGAACATAGTACGAACTATGTTCAACCAAAACTAAATTATTGTCGTTTTTCAAATTTTACCATTAAAATTTACATTACCATTTTAGCGATTTGGTCACATGTATGAAAATGGTTTTTATTATTTCAAGCGAAAACGGTGCAATAATATTCAATTCAATAATATTTTGGTATTATAGTAAATAGTATAGTAGTGGTATAATAGATATTAAAAAAGATCGATTTTTTTTCTTAAAAGTTTAACACCCTGTATTTTGAAAACGACGCATTTCCGACCATCAGGCTGCATCCACACTATCCTAAAAACGGCGTATCGGCGTAACGACCTTGAATAGATGTCCAGTAATTCTATTGGCTGAAAAATTCATCTGTCAGAAATTTTATCTGTCAAAAATTTCTGCCAATAGAATTACTGGAAATCGATTCAAGGTCGTTACGCCGATACGTCGTTTTCAGGATAGTGTGGATGCACCCTCAGTGTCCCATCTCAAAACGTTTATTTTGGCGAGATCTACCAACCTTTAGATTTTGGTACAATAGTTTCGGAACACTCTGTATTTTTAAATCTGCGAAAACTTAGGGATATTTTAAATTAATTTAAGATATAAGAAGAAAACCTAAAGAAAACTTTAAAATTGCCTAAAGTAACAGACTTTTTTAGTATTTGCAAAACCCCTTCAACGTCAAATTCTGAGTTGAATAAACACCAAGATCATGAACTGCCTTCCTGTTCAACTTCAAGCAATATTAGTTTAAGTGAAAATAACAGCAATGAGGAAAAATAATCCGACCTGGGGGGCCCCAAGGGTAGCCCCTAGCCCCGGGCCCCCTAGGACCTTAATCCGGCACTGTGTGCAACCCTTCAGAATGTGCAAGTTCTTCAGAATGTTCTAGAACGGGTTGAAAATAATTTGTATTACTGTATGGAGGTTGACGACCAACATTTTCAGCATATGCTTCATTAATAAGGTAAGTTTTTTTTTAATTAATTCAATTTATGCGTTTTTTTTGCAAAAAGTACTTTTCAAATTTCAATCCTTCATATTTTCAAAATGACTCGACCGATTTTTAAAAACGAAGCGGGGAAATATAGAGAATAGAAAGCCCTTTTCATTGCGACGCCACTTGACCCCCCTTCCCATTTGAAAAAAGTTGGGGGATGACACATGGAGGGTTGAAGATTTTGCAATAATTTTTGGGGCAAAAGTTATCCCCCTCACAAACAAAATTGACGTGTTTTTGGATTTTTTGGAAAAAAATACCCTGGCCGCTATGCCTTGCGGAACGTTTTCGATAGGCCACCCTGTATGCAACAATTACCAATTTTTCTTGCTGTTAGTTATACCGATCTGGTCATTGAAACTGCGTGGTCTGGATTTTATCGTGAACACAGTGGTGTAGACAGCTTAAATGAAAAATCAAATGTATTAAAAAGATATAAAAGTTATGTTGGTACATTTCTTTTATGCGGTATTGCCGGATTGTGTTTACGAACAAGTGTTTACGAAAAAGGTTGCATATAGGGTTGGAACTTTATTTTTTACCATTAGGTTACTCATTTTACTACAGCTGTAATAGATGCTTAAACAACTGTCTAACCGAAATTAGCATTATTGAATAGCTTAGGTATATTTAGTTCATATCAAATAAACTCTTCAGTCACGTGATTAAGCTTGACCGGCACAGCGATGCCCACTTTTACATATTTTCCTTTAATCAAAATATTTTAGGAAAGAAAAATAAATTAATACAAATACATAAACAGTTACTATTAACATCAACAAAACTCACCTTCTTAACAGCATTTAAGTGGCCTAAAGGGCAATTACTACCGCTTTTCCGTTCAAAATATTCTAATAAAGTTGCTATGAATTTTTTACGGCTATTAAGCTATCTTGTACTTGAAAACTAATCAGAGCTCAATTTTTATCAAAAACATGATGGTGAAAACCGCACATCGATACCGTTTCGGAGTTACGGGGTGTTTTTCAAAAACGTGCATTTTTAACAAATCGCTGTAACTTTTTTACTATAGAAAATGTTTCAAAAGCACCTTTTTACGTAGAATTTAATGGTTTAAGTATAACATTTGTAAAATTAATTTAAGAGTTATCAACAGAAAATTTGTTTTTTTTATATGGGACATCCTGTATATTTTTAATTCATTTGAAAAAAATTAAAATTACCTTTCCAAAAATATAGCATACTTTGATATTTTGCTCGATTCCTCTTCTTATTAAAAATTCGCCTACTTTGAATAAATAGGCTTTGAACAGCACTGGCTGTAATGCAAAAAAAATATACTGCGCTGAACCGATTTTAACCAAATTTGGCACAAAAATACTGTGGCACCAGAGAATCTGCCCATTAGTTTTTGGTGGGGGTTGGTAAGGGGGTATGGAAGGGGGTTAAAAATTTAAAAAAATCGTAACTCCAAAATTACTGTAGCTAGCAAAACGCGGTTTACAAATTAAGATTAGGAATAATATTTGCAACAAAATTTGTAATAACATCAAAATCAGTCAAAGTCGCAGTTTTCGAGATATTAACATATTTTAGTATGGGCGGCTATACGTGCCTCCCGGCGCCATTTTTTTATATAATTTAATTTTTGTGACGGTAACATTCAACTATTGCTCAAATATATGCGTTTTACAAATTGAATTTTTAAAATTAATGTTCAAATTTGGAGGTCCTCGACAAGGATAGTTAGAGTAGAAGCACCGCGTGTGCAACAAAAAAGAAGATAAATGGAAGTCGTGGATATGTTTGGGACAGTTTCCATAGTGATTTACTTATCCATGTACTACATTAATTGACTGTTTACGTTGTAGTAATAGTAATAATTGCTCCAAATACTAAAAAACTGAATTTTGTGTGTATTAGACAGTGTGGCAAAAACGTGTGTAACACCTTATAAATTTTATTTCATTTATTGACGAATGCTTATTTATAAAACAGAGACGTTCATTTTCATAACTTATTATTATATTGATTTCTGAGCCAAATCCACATTTATTTAGAATAATTTATTAATTAAAACTAAAATTAAAAGTATGTAATTAACTAATTTTTGGTGTTTTTTGTAGGAAATAATGGTGGTATATTTAATTGGTATACTCTTTTACAAAGATTTAAATGGTTTTTTTGTATGCCAATGTGCTTGCAATATTTACCACTTTTACATTTTGTACATATATGGTGCTATAAAAAAATCTGAAATGTCAATATTCCATGGGTATAGTGATAAATGAGGTCTAAATTATAAGAAAATGCATTTTCTACGAAAACTTGAAGGGATGGGTAAGAAATGGTATAATACAATTTGATAGACAATTACATTGTGCATCTGATTCACGTAAAATATATAGGGTGTTCCATTTATATTAAACAAGTTATTGCCGTTTAAAGCTTGTAATTATTTAATATAAATTTTTGGACACTCTGTATAAGGTAGTAACATTTTTATTATTGCAACACAATATCTGATCAATAAATAATCTTCAGTAAATATTTAGTATTAAAAACTTTGATACCCTCGGAGAAATGAAGCCTTAAAATTTTTACTGCAATTTCATAAAATTGAAAATATTTCAAAAACGGTAAGGTTTAAGTGTGGAAAACCTTAATCAAATTTACCTTTATTTTAATCGTAGAATCCAAAAATAGAATAATATACAGGGTGTTCCATTAAAAAAAATACAACTATAATATTTTTTACTGATTTGGGACACTCTGTATCTTGTAAAATATTTTTAAATTGTAGCTCTAATAGACCTTCAACGAACCCAAAACTTACAATTTGTAAAAATCTAATCGTTTAGCTACAATACTCCGTGTCGTATGTGGTAAACAACCCTGTATATTACCTTCGTTTATTATTTTATTTTTTATACGAACCGGCAATACTGTATGCCGCATTTATTTTGTCTTTCTGTCTGTTAACTGGCCGTTGCTGGTCGTGTATCTCTGTCGCATGCATTAAAGAACAGACCACGTAATGCACAAGTTAATCAACTGCACAGATCAATTGATCGTTCAACAATGTTACCTTATATCGTCTCAATTAATTTCTATAGATGTGTATTTAAAACAAAAACAAATTGAAGGTTCTTCTTCAAATGGAGGTAGTGAGTATATGCGGCTCAGATGTGCATTACTACACCCACGGAAGAATAGGGAATTGGGTGGTTAAAAAGCCGATGGTTATTGGCCACGAAGGTTCCGCAACTATTCTGGAGTGCGGGTCAGAAGTTAAAACCCTGAAACCTGGAGACAGAGTAGCTGTAGAACCCCAAGTCAATTGTCGAAAATGCCATTTCTGTAAAACAGGTAATATTAGAACATATTTATCATCTAACGAAATAAATACAAAAATATTCGTAGTTTCGAATGAGAATGATTTTTATTTTCTACTATCAAACAGTTATTACATTCAATTAAAAATTATTTTTGGTTTTTATTTGGTAAACTTGAAAGTAATGAACCTAAACATGGTTTGATTACTTTCCATCTTTAGTGAACTAACGGCTCCAGTGTAGTAAGTTGTACCGTGCTATAATAAAGGCCATTATTATTAGAAACATTCCTAATATCGTGAATATTTGAAATTGGTTGTTGCATGGAATTTTTCTTCTGGTCTGCATATTTATTAATTCAAACGAACTTGATTAGCCTACTTCTATCCACTGCTATACAGGGTGAGTTTCCTACAATGTTCTCTATGGGTATCTCAGAAACTACTGGAAATAGAGAGTCGGTTAAATGGGGAAAGAATTGCAGTTTTGTGGGGTCATAAATAATCGCCTTTCATATTTTTGAAAAAGTTCATGGCTTACTAGATATTTCGAAAAAAACAAATTTCGGCTATTTTAAAAATTGTCCCTAATTCCATTATAAGCTATTTTAGACAAAAAGTTTTCAGATAATAGTTGTAGATAATCACATCCTTAAAGAGAGCGTATCCTCCGCTTTCTTCTAAAGCCTGTCATTTTCGACATTTGATACAAACATATGTTTTTTTAAATGGAAACCATAGTTGGCCATGACTTCATAAAAAGCGCCGTTTTTTAAGCTATTTAGTGATATAAGCTATAATATCTTTTCTTCGAAAAATTACTTAGTTATAGCTAATTCTTATCATTTTTAAACAATTTCACATAGTTAGCCATGGAAACAAGTTCAATCATCGCTGCTCTCAGAAATGTGAAACTGTCAGATCCAAACTTTGTAAATTAAAATTAACCAAAATTGTAAATATGAACTTTTCAAATGAAGAAAAGCGTGTAGATACTCGCGCATTAATAGAGTGGTTCCAACATGACCTTTATTATGACACACTACCCCCCACCTCCCATAATGAAAGAAATGTTAAAAATTATTTATATCATAATTAGTGTTGCACAAGACAAGAATTCTTGTCTTGAAAACCCCAATTTCTTGTCTTGTCTTGCAGATTTCTTGAATGGCAAAGTCTTGTCTTGTCTTGCAAGACTCTTGAAATTTCTTGTCTTGAAAAATTTTACATTCTAACAAAAAGATAATAATATTTCTACATTTTATTTCATAGAAAGCGTCGCTATACAATACGGAAAAATGAACAACAACGGCAATTTTAGCAAAAAAATCATAACGGACCGCAAACGAACTACGTCAACTCGCCCGTTTGACGAAACATGTGCCATTACCGTAGTATATTCTGTAGCCATTTCCAAATAAAAGCTGAACAAGAATAAGTAAGGTTAAGTTCAATTTATTGTTTTTGGGTTATTATTTCCTAACAGTATACTCACTACCAAAAAAAGTTTTAATATGAAATTCATGCTAGAGTGTAATATTTGCGCTATTTGATACTACTTTTTGTTCGCTGAGCAATTTCGTGCACGAAAAGTAGTACCAAATAGCGCAAATAGCGTGCTCCACGAACCTACCATTAGTTTCAGCTACCGTTAATTTTTTTATAATACCATTATATTATACCATTATATAATTTTGTGTATAATACCAATTACCAATATACGGTTTGTTGCCTCGACTTAAAATAGAAAAAAAATGAACACTGGTCAATATTAATGCCGGGTTTATACAACATTTGCATAAGTCGTAATTATAATCACATTCTTAATCATCGTCATAATCACAACGCAATTTTAATGTGCGTTTATAGAACATTTTCATAATCATAATTTTTATATCAGTGACGTTGGGTAACATAATTAAAGGCTAAGTTCATGGTAGATGTCAACAGGTTTATAAGAAGTGGATAGTTTAACTTTTCTGATTATGACTATGATTGTGATTACGACTATGTAAATGTTCTATAAACCCGGCATAACGTGCGCAAAGACCTAATTATCACTTAAAAAAATGTATCATTTTTAACTTTCAAGAAATCTTGAATTCAAGAAATCTTGCAAGACTCTTGAAATTTCTTGCATATTAAAGTCTTGTCTTGTCTTGAAATTCAAGACTTATTATTAGTAATATTCACCAGTGAACGTATCCTCGAAAATGTATGGTCAAGAAAAGTCGAACCAATAATCCTACACCCTTTTCTTGATTTGAAAAATTACATATTTACAATTTTTGTTTATTTTAATTTACAAAGTTTGGATGTGACAACTTCACATTTATGAGAGCAAAGACGATTAAACTTGTTTCCATGGCTAACTAAGTGAAATTGTTTAAAAATGATAAGAATTGGCTATAACTCAGTAATTTTTCGATGAAAACATATTATAGCTTATATCGCTGAAAAGCCTAAAAAATGGTGCTTTTTATGAAGTCATGGCCAACTATGGTTTCCATTTAAAAAAACATATGTTTGTGTCATATGTCAAAAATGACAAGCTTTAGAAAAAAACGGAGGACACAATCTCATTAAGGATGTGATTATCTACAACTTTTATATGAAAACTTTTTGTCTAAAATAGCTTATAATGGAATTAGGGACAATTTTTAAAATAGTCGAAATTTGTTTTTTTCGAAATATCTAGTAAGCCATGAACTTTTTCAAAAATCTGAAAGGCGCATATTTATGACCTCACAAAACTGCAGTTCTTTCCCCATTTAACCGACTCTCTATCTCCAGTAGTGTCCGATATACCCATAGAGAACATCGTAGGAAACTCACCCTGTATAAAACACTAAATCCCCACGATACTTATTAGTTGTCCGTACGTAGTAGCTACATAATATTTAATTTAAATAAATATTTTAGGTCACTACAATTTATGCGAGAACATATTTTTCTGTGCTACCCCACCCGATGACGGAAACTTATGCACATATTTTGCCCACGAGGCCGATTTTTGCTTCAAACTTCCGGACAATATTACTCTAGAACAAGGCAGTTTAATGGAACCACTGTCGGTAGGAGTACACGCTTGCAGAAGAGGTGGCGTGACCAACGGAGATACTGTTCTGATATTGGGATCGGGACCGATCGGTTTGGTGTCCCTCCTGGCCGCAAAAGCAAACGGAGCGAAGCAAGTGGTTGTCACGGACATTGTAGATTTCAACCTTCAGAAAGCCAATGAGCTGGGAGCTGATTGCGCCTTTAACACCGGCAGTCTTAGCGACGAAGATATCTTAAGCACTCTCAGAGATATCATGCCCGAACCTCCACGAGTCACAATCGACGCTTGCGGATTTGAGAAAGCCGTGAAAATTGGTATGCAAATGACAAAAAGTGGCGGCAAGTTGATTCTTATTGGAATGGGGAATGACACCATGTGTCTGCCCATGTCGGTGTGCACTGTCAGGCAGATCGACATGCTGGGCATTGCTAGGTACGTGAACGACTATCCTACCTCTATTAATATGGTTAGTTCGGGGAAGATCGATACCAAACCGCTTATCACTCACCATTTTAAATTCGAAGATGCTATAAAAGCCTTTGAGACTGCTAAGGAAAGGAAGGAAAATATTATTAAAATTATGATTCACGCAAATCCGAAATGGAAACCGGAATGTTAAAAATAATTTTGATCTCTGTTAAAGCGCCAGTCCTGTAACGTCCATTCTAAAATGTAAAATTTGAAGTAAACTTGTTTTCTCACGTTTCTAATTCTTGTTTTATTTTACCAATATCTCTAAAGTCTAAAGTGTAAACAATGAAACAATATTAGTCACTTTTGATGCATGTTGTCATTTGTTAAAAATTATTTGTATCAAATATGTAATAGCTAGTAATTTTTGAACAAAAAATTAGGATTTATTTCATTAGAGCCAAATTAGAGCTATGTTCTATTTTTAATTGCATAGATAAAGGAAATATATAATACTATTTGGCGCTATTCTTACAACAACGGTCGCTCTCCAAAGCTTTTTCCGGAATTATGTCGCCCAAATATTATTCATTCAAATTTATGCAATTTTCTTTTAATTTTTTAAATAAAATACTGTTTGTTGCATATGAGAAACTTTATTTTATATAACGACATGTATGAAATACCTATGAAACATTGGAAACCGACGCGACGCGTCATTGGAAACATAGGAAATCCCATGCAAATTTTGAACGGCTTAAATATTGGCTCCCATGTTGATTTTATAGAAAAGACATAAAATAGATTTTTTAAAGGTCTACGTTTGGTAAACACACATGACAAATTTGAACTATATTGGTCAAGCCGGGCTTTGAGTAATTTGAGAAAAACTCCATTTATTTTTAAATTAAAACTGATCAGGTAACAATCAAACACCAGTCAAAAATCGACATACCTTAAATTGTCAGCGTCATTTTCAAACTTAACATAATTTTAATAAAATTTTAATATTCAGTATTAGTAATAATTTATTATTATACACATAAAGAATAAGTGTGCATGATAAAATGGTACTATGCATGCAAGAAAGAATTTAGACAATGCACAGTGGGGCAGGATTCACTAAATATGTCGAAAAAGTTTGGGTGATAGTGCATATATATTTTACGAATAATTAACATGTTATAAAGTGACTTTTATCGAAAAATGGTTATTGCTTAGCGGCATAGACAAACAAATAAAAAGAGACTGGCAAATTAAATGGCAAAGAGAGGGACAACGTTCCCGTAGCGCAACTCAGAACGCAAAATTTCGTTCTGTTTATGTTGATCTGCGCATTGCTTCTATTGGGCCCACTATCTCATTCTAATATAACAAGAGAGAAAGAAGTAGCCATATAAAACGTAATTTCTAAATAGAAATTAGAACAATCTCCTTTCGTTTTCGTCATCATGACAACGAAGATAACATCATGACAATTCGTCGTGTTTGTTAATTTTTCTTTTCGTGATTTACCTTTTTTTCTAAACTCTCCATTTTATTGACTTATGAATATGGATAGATAAGAAATTCCTTTGTTCCATATAGGTATTTATATTTTGTTACTTATAATTTTCGGTTATACTATTTGTTATTTTATTTGCTGCAGGAGCAAGTATCATCTATTTTTTATATGTATTGGTGCCCCCTTTCTCTGATAGATATGTTAAAGACACCCGATAAAATAAAAGTAAGTAGTTACATTTATCATCTTATTAAGAAAAAAATAGAAGTAGTAGTGTTAAAAATATTTCGAACCTCTCTTAACATAACAAATTAATACAATTAATTTTTTTCATTTTTTGGGTAGGGAGTTTATAGCTGGTTTATAGTAACCAGAAACTTCATTAATATACCTATTTTACTTTTGTTTTAGGATTAAAACTGGACTTGAATATGGTTCAGGATCATGATTCTCGTAAAGTCTTCTTTGCTTGGATATTCACTTTGTTATTGCAATTAGGCAGTTTTTTCGAAAATGAGATTCTTAATGCCCTTTAAAAAAATTGGCCCATCGTTTCCGGTCCAATATGTTTATAAATGTTGGAATATTGTATCAAAAATTTAAATTTACCGGCACCCTAGCGGAAGTAGATGAGAATGTCATATGGGAACTGTGTATGGGAATTATGGGTAATAAAAAATAGTCTAAAAATAAAAGATGGTGTGTGTTGTATCGAGTACAAAATAGGTCGTTTTGGTGTTTTATTTATCCTAAAATCTAATAGGTTATGGGCCCAGACACCAGCCCAAAACGCGAGTTTCGGTAGTTACGGCAAGTTTACGGAATTTCGGTAGTTACGGAGTGAAAGGGAAGAGAAAAAACGTCGTTTTTTCGTTGCGTCGTAATCGGGTATCGGTGGCGTTCCTTTTTTCACAAGATGGCCGTCAACTATTTGGCAAGCGTTCCGAAGCTAGTTGGTCGAGAAAACTACGACGAATGGTGCTTTGCGGTAGAAAACGTTTTTGTACTCGAGGGACTTTCTAAATGTTTGGAAGGCACCGAGACAGACAGTGTACTTCTGGCAAAAGCTAAAGCGAAGTTCGTGTTGACATTAGATCCTTCCTTATATGTGCATGTTAAAGACGCGGCCACATGCAATGAAGCTATGAAAAAGATCCAATCACTCTATGAAGATGTGGGATTTACCAGAAAAATAGGGCTTTTGCGACATTTAATATCCTTGAGATTGAGTAGTTGTGAAAATATGGAGTCGTACGTGAATCAAGTGATTGAAACATCACAGAAGTTAAGGAAAACCAAGTTTGATATAAGCGAAGAATGGGTAGGTTCCCTTCTGCTGGCCGGTTTACCAGACAAGTACGCCCCCATGTTGATGGCGATCGAGCATGCAGGAATCGCAATCACAACAGATACCATCAAAAGTAAATTGCTTGATATGCAAGAAGAAAACTCTGGCAGTGTCGGCAAAGCAGGTGCCTTTGCAGCAAGCGGTAGTAACTTCAGAAATCAGTCAAGAGGTGGCAGTAATTCTAACAGAAAAGTGTCAATTAACAGTAGTAATCAATCTGTGGATGACCGGCGTGATTCTGACAGACGCCAAATTGACAGAAGTAAAATAATTTGTTTCAAATGTAAACAACCTGGACATTTTAAGTCGAAATGCCCAAATTTAAGTGTTTCTTCGTCGAATTCTTCGAAATATGCTTTCAGTGCTGTATTTTTAAGCGGAAAATACAATAAGAATGATTTTTATTTGGACTCTGGTGCGAGTAGGCATATGTCTCCCAATGAAAATGCATTATACAACAAGAGAAAACCAGACATTGAAGAAATTACTGTTGCTAACCACGAAAAATTAGCAGTGAAATGTTTAGGCGATATGGACATTTCTACAAGTGTAAAAGACACACAGAACAATATAACTGTTTATGGTGTTTTGTGCGTGCCTAATCTGACGACAAATCTTTTGTCAGTGAGTGAACTGATTGCTAAAGGAAATAGAGTGTCATTTAACCAAGAAGGTTGTTCGATATACAGTAGGAATAACGACTTGGTGGCTACAGCAACTCTAGTTGGAGGTGTGTATAAAGTAAACATGAAAGTTGAAAAATGTATGCTTGCAGCGTGCGATGACAGTGAACTTTGGCACAGGAGGCTTGCACACATAAATTGCCAAGACTTAAACAAGATGAAACACTGTGTAAGTGGCATGGAGTTGAAAGGAGTAGCAAGAATTGACAAGTCAAATTGTGTGGTATGTTGTGAAGGCAAACAAACCAGGCTACCTTTCCCAACCACAGGAACACGAAGCAACCAAGTGCTTGAAGTTATACATGGAGATGTTTGTGGACCTATGGAGACGATTTCTATTGGTGGCTCAAAATATTTTTTACTTTTAGTCGATGACTTTACAAGAATGTCATTTGTCTATTTTTTGAAGACAAAGGATGAGGTGTTCAAGTATTTCCAGGAATTTAAAACAATGGTCGAAAAACAACAAGGCAGAAACATCAAGATATTCCGCAGTGACCAAGGTGGTGAGTTCTGTAGCAATAAGTTCGAGAGATTTTTTCAGGAAGAAGGTATTATACACCAGAAGACGAACGCTTATACTCCTGAACAAAATGGACTTTCAGAAAGACACAATCGAACATTGGTTGAAAAAGCAAGATGTTTACTGTATGATGCAGGTCTACCAAAAAGATTTTGGGCAGAGGCAGTAAATACCGCTAACTATCTACGGAATAGATGCATAGCCAGTGGACTAAATGGAAAAACACCCTTTGAGAAGTGGACAGGGAAGAAACCGGATGTTTCAGGTCTAAGAATCTTTGGCAGTACAGTAATGGCTCATATTCCTAAAGAGAAGCGTCTTAAATTTGACAAAAAAGCTTGTAAACATATTTTAGTTGGTTTTTCAGATCATATCAAGGGTTATAGGATCTACAACCCAGACACTGATGATGTAACAACAAGCAGAGATGTTATTATACATGAAAACCTGAAAACCAATAAAATGAATGTTAGCTATGGCAGTGAAGTAACAGAGGAGTCAGTTGAAGTGGGGGAAAATAAGCAAAATACACAGGTTAGTGAAAACAGCTTACATAGTTCACTTGACAGTCTATATCAACAGTCAGAAGAACAATCTTCAGTTCATATGGACTCTACAGACAGTGACTATGAACCAGATGTGCCAGACACGACTTTGTCTGATCCAGAAGCAGCAAGACGATCTCAGAGGCCAAGGCGAGAAAAGCAGTTCACTGATTATGTTACGTATCTAACTACTGCTGAGCAAAATGAAAGTATTGTTCCCGAAGAAGTTCTAGTGACAGATGATACTCCTGTGAGTGTTCTAGAAGCCATGTCGAGGCCAGATCATGCAGAATGGAAGCGAGCTATTGAAGAGGAACTAGCTTCTTTTGAAGAAAACAACGCTTGGGAAATTGTGGACAAGCCAAAGGACGCCACAATAGTGAAGTGTAAGTGGGTGTTCAAAAAGAAGTGTGATAGTGAAGGTGATGTTAGATATAGAGCTCGTTTGGTAGCTAAAGGTTTTTCTCAGAAACCAGGGGTGGACTACAATGAAACTTTTTCTCCTGTAGTGAGACATTCTAGTTTAAGGTTATTATTTGCATTGTCTTTAAAGTTAGACTTAGAAATAACACATTTAGATGTAAAAACAGCTTTTTTGAATGGTTATTTACAGGAAATAGTCTACATGGAACAACCAGAATGTTTTGTAACTAAGGGTAATGAGAGTAAAGTGTGTAAACTGAATAGAGCCATATA